GTTGTTTTCTCCTCCAGATTGTTCATCCAGCCTGTCGTATCCAGACAGGCCTGTGGAGACAACATGCATAAAAACAAGACAGAGCAAAACCAAGCAACACTAATGAAATGTTTTAAGACATAAAACAGTTCCTGTTTTTACTACATCTGCTACAGAATCAAATGCCTAAGCACGTTTGTGACCGTGCATAAAATAAGTATTGCATTTCAGACTGGAGTTTGAGAAAAGAAAGAGAGCAATTTCATTTAAAGTTTTTAGATATACATCATATTAACAATAAAACAAGGTCTATTAGGGTATTGCCACTTGGTCATCTTTGTTTTTTTTCTAACCTCAGTTTTATTTTTATTGTAATAGAGGACTAAAACATTTCAAATTTCAATTTTCTGAGAATTAAAAAAATTTAATCTAATAACATGACTCATTGAGGTAGTGGGTATTTAGTATCAGGATTAGCTTTTGATTTGAACTATTTTACAACCAACATACTAAGTTCACATGAAAAAAATATAAGAAACTTAAGTGTTTCTTAAAATTATTTTGATGAAAGTAGTTCTTTTTCTAATATACGTCTTGTCTCAGTCATAATAATTTGAAGATATTTTAGTTAATATATTTCTCTCAGTAAATATTAACAGCGTTAATAGTCAAGGTATCAGAGCACATTACTTCAGTTTCAATGAGTAAATGGACTTTAATTTCTATTAACGTATTTTATATTACTCTACTATATTTTCCTCGTTAGAAAATTATATATTATATGGGCTTGTTAGCCTTAATCATAATTTAAGAAAAGTTTTTTACAATTACCTTTGCCATATATAGACTCATACTCTCTATCTCATTTTTAAAGAATAGGAGTTAGAAATAATAAAATAATACCTGTTAACCATCTTCCTAAAATGAATTCTTTTTTTAATAGTATCAAAAACTTAGAAACTTCAGTTTTCCTATATGTTAACTATATTCTTATTCATTAATTAGATGTTTATTCATTAACAAGATGTTTATTCTTATTCATTAAATATATCATTAACTATATGTTTATTCTTATTCATTAACTGTATGTTTATTCAATTTTCTCTAAGCTCTTTATATCATAAAATCGATATATAAGTAATTTGAAATATATCATAGTAAACATGAAATAGTAGTAATCGTTTTTCTTAATTTACCTATATTATACCATCATCATTTTTTACTGAAAGATTGTGCATGATTACTCACACATGCCTACTTGATAAAACTATTTTAGATCATTTCTATTTATTAATTCATTGATGTGATATTTCCTTATTACATTTCTATTGTGTGCCATATATTGCATTACGTATTTGATATCTAACAGCGTACCTAATCTTTCTACCAAGGAAGTATAGTCTATTGAGAGATGAAATGCTAGCCAATCCTAGGAGAGACAGATAGTAACAATGAGAGTGTATTTGAATTGAAGTTCGCCAGGTGATGGAGGTGGGGCTCAGAGACTCTAAACAAATACAAGTGGCATGTGCAAAGGTTCTGCAGGTAGAGACCACTTGCCAAAATGTACAGTGGTAGGAGAGGATGAGGTGGAGAAAGAGAAATGGTGAGGAAGACAGTGGTGATTCGGAGGCAAGCTGATCTCCTTCAAAGTTCTGATCAAAGAGCTGCAGGGGTAGCCACCTCTCATCTGTCAGTGTTGCTGTGGTCCTCTTAAGGTTTCAGCAGAGCTTCCAGTCTAAGACAGACTGGGAAGGAATACATCTACATCTGAAAATGAGCCAATGAAAATCCACTGGATTAAAATAGGCAGATCATAAGCAATACTCAGCCATGAGGATGGTGAAGACTGGGCAGCACTTTATTCCACTGTGCATGAGGTTCCGAGGGAGAAAGGTCACCACGAGGCAGCTATCAACAGGGGCCAGAGTGCATACTTTATACTGACATCAGAGAACTCGCATCATGTGTTTAGGGAAGGCTGTGATGACCGTGGACTACATATGTTCTTGCTAACTGCTTATAGCCAGACAGAAGTAAATATATATTCTTAAGAGCAGAAGTCAGAATTCTAAATAAGCAGCTTGCGTAGCTAATTCAGCCATAATGGGTGTTATGTTCCTGAATCTATTCTTGCTCCTGAGGATGTAATGCTAAACAAAACAGGTATGCTTCTCCTCTCCTAAAACTGACAGGCCAGCAGAGCTCAATTTTAGTAACATAAGCTCACAGATGGTTGCAGTTGACAAAGTACAAAGTTATAGGACAAAATATAACAGAGTCCTTCCTATCTAGATGATATAATGGGAAAACATTGGCTTGAAGAAATGATTTGGGTGCTGGGAGGTTTAAGTAGGTGTTATTCCGTGAGAGTGGTAGGTGGTGGGGGGTGAGAGGATCACAACTCGAAGAGAGTAACACCATAGAGAAACCACAGTGAGAGAGAACAAGATGTAGCGGAGATCCTGAAAAGGGGAAGTTCTTTCTGGAGGACAGAGTATTAGTGGGGCTTTGGGACAAGGTGAGACTGGAGAAATGGACAGAGCCTAGAGGCTGGAGATCCCATTTGGCCAGTATAAGACGTCTGGCCTTTGTTCTGGGACTGAAAATAAAAGAGGCCCTGATGCCAGGGGCTTCAGTGGAGAGCAAATGTTTTGAGAATGATGAGGGCCATGAATGTATAAATGCGCTTTACAAAACTGATGTCTGTATGGATTGTGATAGAGTTGTATGAGCCCCTAATAAAACCATTAAAAATAAATTAAAAAAATAAACTAAAAAAAATTTCATTATCAGCAATAACACACACAGAAAAGAAAGTTTCAAAGTTTCTATTTATTTGTTTTTCCTGGGAGGAGGCATGTGCATTTTCAGGAAGTTTCTCTGGGTGCCAGGAGGAGAAAAGGCCGAGTGGCATGGGGCTGAGGGTGGTATTGAGCTGAAGAAACTGCAGCCGTTCAGGTAAGATTGCTGGAGACGTAGATGGAGGTAGAGGCAGCAGTGACACAAAGCGTTCATGAGCCTTCCTGCGACATTCCATCTGTCCAGTCACCACACACTGTCCAAAGACTTGGGGGGCAGTCTTAACCCATCCTCTTCTTCATCTTCTTTCCAATTGTATCAGACATGGAATTTTTTCCCTTCTTTCCATCACGGTGCCTCAAAGAAAGAATGGACAAAAAGAATGGTAGGGGGAAAAACATCTTCTATCCCGGGAATTTCCAGAAATCTTGGACTCTGTTCAGTAGGAAGCTTAACTTCCAGCACTTTATCGGACCATAAATAGGATATTGTGACACACAGAGGTTTTCATGGGCTAAGTTTCAGAAGCATGTTATCCATCCTTCCTTCCTATTCTTTCATAGTCAGAAAGCTCGCCTGAATATTGTTTACCGTAAGTAACCCTGCCGGCTATATAAATACGGAGGGTGGAGCTTCTAGCACCATAGCAACATGTGCCCCATCACAGGCTCACAGCTGACAAATAAGTGACAAGCCTTCGTTATTAAGTGAAATGTTAACCATTTATTTTTTTAATCCATTCATGTACCTGGGTTTCCATGATGGTAACATTAAGTTATTATGTTTGATTTATAGAAAAGCCGATTTAAGAATGGAGTTTTTAAAATATTTCTTCTGGGAAAATATTTTGGAGATAATAAGCATGACCATTGTTGTGACCCACTCCTCTCACCAGAAAAAGAAGCATAGTGACCCGGAACCACTTGATCTTTAGTCAAACAGACCTGCATCAAAGGGCTGTTGCCAGACGATATATAAAATTGCACAGGAATCTAAGGAGCTCTGAGGTGCTGTTAGGTGTTGGACCACTAACCACTAAGTTGTTGGTTCAAATGCACTCACTGTTCCTTAGGAGAAAGATGCTATGGTTCAGCTCCCCCAATGGTTTATGGTTTCTGAAACCTTTGATAGGGTCACTGTGAGTCAGACTCAGCTTGATGGAACTGGGTTTTGTTCTTTGGTCTACACTGAATCTGGTACATAGTAAGCACTCTATGGGCTAGCTCTAGAAATTGCATTGATAATAATGTCTTGTCATCATAGGTGAGTGTCCTTCAATATTCCTTCCAAAAAAGTATGAACTGTGACTTTTTTAAGCACTAAGAAAGAGCAGTGAATAAAATGAATATCATTGCCTTCCAAGAGTTATATTTTGGTGATAAAATGTATGGGTGTAGAACTATCAATCTCAACAGACGCCAATTAGAATGGTGTTGGAAAACCAGTCGTAATTCTTTGCAAAGAACATTTACTTATCCTCAATGACAGTTAGCAATCGGATTTTTGAACTTCCATCATTCTCATGAAAAGACAGCAATGAAATCATTCAATTGATTGGATTTTGCTAATATGAAAAAGAATCAAATCCCTTGGGCGGACTGGTTGATTCGGATTCATAGCAACCCTGAAGGGCCAAGGAGGAGTGCCTCCCAGGTTTCCGGGGTGTACATGTGTTTATTGTATTGGAAGCAGAATGGCATTGCTTACGTTTCTCCCTTGGAGCTAATGGTTGGTTTGAGCCACTGACCTTCTGGGAAGCAGCTAAGTTACACGACCATTACACCACGCAGGCTCCTTCCTTTTTTTTGTGGCTAGTGCCACCCTCTGAGAATAGAAGTATGAGCATGTGGAAGGCGTGAGTGAGAGCTACTATTCAGTCTCCTTAGTTTGCAGCCGAATGCTGAAGGCACACCTTTCAGTAACTAGAGCAACTCCCTGCAGGTCTAGTACCTCATGTGGTGCTCAGGTTGATAGGGAGAAATGTACCTCTTGTGACCCCAAAGCCCTGTCACTGGTGAACAACTTACTGATTTCAATGACTGCTGTTGTCTGCCCACAGTTAGATTCCAACGGGGAGCTGCTTATTCGAAACGCCCAGTTGAAACATGCCGGGAGATACACATGCACTGCTCAGACAATTGTGGACAATTCTTCGGCTTCTGCTGACCTTGTTGTGCGAGGTAAGAATGTCAACATTACATTTAAAAAAATCACGAAACCAAAAGTATTTGACTTAAATAAATATGTATAATCTTCTGGTAACTCTGGCTCAAAATCTTATATATTTAGAGTTTTGATCCTTGAAAACAGCTTCTCACCCATGCCTAATGATGATTCATGCCAGACAAGTAGTAAACAACACTGATTCTGTTTGTTTTACTAACTACATGTCTTCGAGAAACTTGTACCGCATACCTCCTCCTAAATGTTTGTGCCTTTATACTTAGTGCTTACCAGAAGTTCTCATTTCATGCTAATCCTTTCAGTGTGTGGAGTATCATGCTGTTCCCTTTTGTCTTGTTTTCAGTCCAGATGCCATTTAGTCTCGCCTCAAAGGCTCTATATTTATCAATATCGTCTGAACATAAACGTTTAGTTTGTGTAGGTATCATGTATCTACTTGTCTCTGATTTTTGGATCGGGCTTCTGTTCACTTACTCCATGTAATTGAGACGTGCTAAGGTACACACGTATATTGAAAACGAGACCCTGTTGTGACCTGCGTCTGCTCTTTCTCTGAGACACGGCTGGGAGCTACCGCACCTTATTCACAACCATGAGTGGACGCTGGCCTCTGCACTTCTCGCAGAATGACGGCCAATCCGGGGCTTTGCACGCAGGAAGTTCCAGCCATCCCTTTCAGCCTTCTCAGCTGCTTCACTTCAGAAGTGAAGCGCATGCCTCCACTTCCCTCACACGCCTACCCAGGATCGAGCCTCCAGTTCCTTCGCTGACAGCTGATTCCCATGCCTTCTCCTCCTCTTTCCTTCTCCAGATCTGGTCCATTGTTCAGGGTTGGTTCCCGGATTACCAGAGTCATGGATCCTTTTCTGGTGTGCCAAATATGAGCGTTACTGTCTGTCTTCCAGCATTACTATTTTTCCCAGTGTCTTTTATTGCAACCTATTGATCTGAGTGATCTAATCTAGTACATTATGACTTCAATCGTTTTTTAATTTAGTAATGGAGGAGCTCCTTTGCATAGGTCCAGTGTTGTGCTTTTCTTGCTCTCTGTCACTGTGCTGCAAAATGTCTGCTGCTAGAATGGTTTGCTGATCGTTAATTAATTGTAGGTTTCTTAGTTAGTTTGGCTGCAAATCAAGTATGAGGAAATAAAATGACATGTGTGGTGTATTTTTTAATACCACATCCAGAACTGGATTGATATAATTTCACTTAATTGTGTGTATCTGCCACATTTCTTTATACAGCATTGATAATATGGGATGCCCCAAGCCACCTTGGGAAAAGACTGAAAATTATTTTATTCCAACTGAATACAGTTAGTAATAGGTCCATAAAAAGTCTCGATGAAGTTCCTTTTTTCGGACTGAAACATTCGTGACCAAAACAAATGCGCGCGCACACACACACACACACACACACAGTCTCACTGAGTCAAGGACAGCGCACAGCATCCCTATAGGACAGGCGAGAACTGCCCCTGTGGGTTTCTGAGACATAAACTGTGTACATTCATAGTCACTTACTGAGAATTAAACTCTGAGGTTACAGATTCCTCAGTCAAAGACAGGTTCATTTAGGTTTATAATTCCCATTTAGAGTATTAGGGGCATCCCTGGTAATTGAGAGTTATCAGGGAGAGTGTCTCCTTCACCCTTCTATGTAGAACATTAACTACTAACCAGTGCTGTAGACAGCCTTTAAAATGATTTACTTGAAACTGTTTGCAATTTGAAGAAATCACATCAATATAAGAATAGGGATTATATTCATATAATAATGCATGTATCTTAATGTCTTCATATAATCATATTATAGTAAGCACTAAACATTTATTAATGATATACTCACACATGCTTGGATAATTAACAAATTAAATTAATGAGTATATTTAATACAAAGTAAAGCCAATAGAAAGAATGTAGCAGGTCTTCTGTGGAAAAAAAAAAGTTTGGTCAGTTATTTCTCTAAAGCAGTGGTTCTCAGCCTTCCTAATGCTGCAACCCTTTACTACAGTTCCCCCAACCATAAAATTATTTTCATTGCTAATTCATAACTTTAATTTTGCTACTGTTATAAATGGCCATGTAAATATCTGATATGTAGGATGTATTTTCATTTTAAAAATTGAACATCATGAAAGCATAGTGATTAATCACAAAAACAATATATTATGAAATATTTATTTCTAATGACAAATAAATGAAATTTTATATTGAAGCATGGTGTAGCATGGGTAACAGTCTTCGCACCGGGTACTCGTATGTGGGCGTATCTGCATGTGGACGGACCCGCCTGGAGACGGCTAGAGGAGCGGTGTCTCAGTTCCTTAAGACCAGCAGAAAGATGTGTTTTCTGATGGTCTTAGGGGACCCCTGTGAAAGGGTCATTCAACCCCCAAAGGGGTCGCGACCCACTGGTTGAGAACTGCTGCTCTAAAGCCTTTTAGTTCTCAGGGAAATAACAAACTCTAAGTAGTTTTCAACCTGTGGGTCGCGACCTCTTTGGGGTCCAACGATCCTTTCATAGGGGTCACCTAAGACCATCAGAAAACACATAACTATTTCACCATATATAATTACATATTGTTTTGTGATTAACCACTATGCTTTATGTTTAATTATGTTCAAATGTAACAATGAAAATACATCCTGAATATCAGATATTTACATTATGATTCATAGCAGTAGTAAAATTACAGCTATGAAGTAGCAATGAAAATAATGTTATGGTTGGGGGTCACCACCACATGAGGAGCTGTATTAAAGGGTTGCGGCATTAGGAAGGTTGGGAACCACTGACCCAGAGCAATGGAACCTGGTGAGTGCATGTGGTTGAAATGTAGTGCAGCCTAGGACCTCCCTGTGCTCCGGCAGGGTGTTGGTGAACCGCTGTACCACGAGGGCTCCTTATTAGACAGGGAGATAGTAGGCAGTGCTTTGCACAGTTAGTGTTTGTAGACCCCTCATCTCTGACATTTATTTCTAAGGGAATAAAAGATACTCATTTTAAAAAATGGAATCTCCAGGGTTTGCAAATGGTTTGCATGCTTGGTGGCTACTCACTGAAAGATTGAGAGTCTATGTGTATTGGGGAAAAGGCTTAGCAACCTATTGTTAAAAAATGGCCGTTGGAAGCCTGATCGAGCAAACACAGTTTCACTCTGCCCCACATGGGCCTGCCCCACA